CTTGCAGTCTGCATGACAGAAATGACCCAAGCGGAGGAAACAGAGAAGTGGGACAGGGTGAGTTGAGAGGGAGGGAAATCCAAGAAGCTGGCAGAGGTTAGCAGTGCCAGGCAGTATTACATTGTGACCAGTGGTAAGAAGGGTGGGACAGGAGACCTCCTGCTTTCTGTGCGACATATCACCTATTCGTTGCAATACACAGTGCATGGTCTTGGGCTGGGAAGGAGGAAGAGGCACGTGTCCCAGCAGAAGTACACCCTCATCAAAATACATAACCAAGATGCTTGATTCCAAAATGAAATCACCTTGCAGATTTTCGAGATATTGCTTAGCTGTTATTCACAGCAAATCTGCATCCACTTTAAAAAGGGAATCAGTATTATCTGCTTCATTTTACCGATGGGGAAACTGAGGCACAGAGATGAAGGACTTGCCCATGGTCACCCAGAAGCCATGGAAGGAGGAGGGGTCCAAGTCCCACTATGGTGCTCTGTCCATCAGTTCCTCTCCTTACATAGTCAGAAGCTGCATACAATCACCCACAATCTGCAGGTGGGGAAACTCAGCTACAGTCATTACTATGACAATGGGATGAGAACACAGGAACCCAGACCATGCTCAGATCAATGCAGTTCATGCTGCCTTCAGAAGCAACCTGCGAGGAAATGAGTCCAGCCAGAGGATGTGCTAGCTCTAAAACAAGGCCCGGAAAACACAGCGGATGCAGCCAGCTGTTAGCTATTGACGGTTCGCTCCACCATGCCCAATCCTCTTCACGATCAACGGCAACCGACAGGCCCCATGAGAGTCTGGAAGTAGGTAGGTCTGAATAGCCACAATTATATGCAGATGTAAATGCACATGCAACTGGCACTGGCCCTTACGCCAGTCTCCAGCAATTGCCATTCACAGGAATCCTGTTCTGGCACTGACCTCTAAATATCTCTCTAGTTTCTCAAGACACATGCAACGGTAAATGACCTACATGTTGTAAGGGAAAGAAGAGAACCCAAGATTGTTACAAGTATCAGTCATTTGAGCTGAAGCAGAATCTTTACATTTGATAGTTCATATTAAAGCTTTTATCCTTTTTGTAGGCATGCCACCACTAAAGGGAGATGAGTACAAACAGGATAGGAAAGCAGATGCACCCTAGCTCTGGATTTCAATGCTGTCCTAGGGGCTCTGGAGAAAGAAGCACTACCTAGGTATTTCAGCAAGAAGGGCAGAAAACCGCTGTCCCAAAGAGTGGTGACAATTTTATGACAAGACAAGACAAGGCAATGGCAAAAGTGGAGTGGGGATGGGAGCACAAGCCAACATTGCAGCCCAAGGAGGCTTCTTCCATTTCAAACCCTGCATGCTCTTCTTTCTGTAAGGAGTCCTAGAGAAGAAGGAAGAAATTGCATCCATGCAGCCACCTTCCACTCCCACCTCCTTTTTGGTTTAAAGCAAAGGGAAGTCCTACCGGTGTTGTAGTGCTCTAAGCCAGTGGGAACTTCCTGAATGGCTGACTCATCCCAGACTGGGTAGCAAATCCTTTGCTGGTAGCAGGTGGACTGAAACCCACAGGTCATCCAAGGATCTTCATAGGAATTGACAGTGCCCTGCCTCTGATCACAAGGGAAAACATCACGTTAGCAACACAGGTAGTAAAATTAAAGTAGTCAGATACGCGCCCCCCCCTCCCCATAGATTTCAAATGCAGCATTTCTCACCGGCAATGTCAAAACCACCCATCTTCAGCTCAATTCAAATGGAAAATATTTTGTTTGGGTTTTTGCTAAGTAAACGCAAAACCAAAACTTTTCAATTGCAGAAACAGGTGGGATACAGAAAGCCCTGGGAATTTTACTGGAAAGTCAAGGAGATTTCCCACCCCATTTCTGCAGACACAAGAGCTTTGGGAGGTGCAACATGCTGCTACTCTGCAGGCGAGGAGCACTCCAAAACACTGAACCCTCTGTTGTGTGGCCTTTGCTCCTTAACAAGGCAACCCCCTATCAGCAGGAATTCCATAGCTATCAATTAAACTATCTTCCAGCTACAGAAACCCAATGAATAGCAGCAGCTGTCTCCCACAAGCCAATCTCCCTGGGGCATCTTGTGTCCTGAAGTGCAAGAGGGGGACGAGCCATGTCTCTCTTCACCAGCAGGGGGAAGAACTGAGTTTTTATGCTGCAAACCTTCCCATTCCCAATTTAGAGGGAGAGGGGAAAAAATCCCTGAAGCGGAGGCTTGAAACTATTTGACATGATCTCTTCCTGGGTATTTCCTTTCTTGTTGTTTCATTTGTATCGGCCCATACACAAGGACCTGTGGCGAAAGATGCTATCTTGTAATAATTACCCTTCACACCCCCTTACTAGATTCAGTTCTTTCCTAGGCCACTGGGAAAGTTTTAGGAGTCCCATGTCCAAAATTTGGATCTGGGCTCTGGTAAATAGCTGGGCGCTGGATTTTTGCAAGAGCTCAGTATGTTGAGTGTGAATCTGCCCTGAATAGCAGATGCCAAACACTTGGGAATCTGGCCCTGGGCTCTTCTATATAACTGAAGCCACACAAGCTGACCCTAAAAATATAAGAGAAGTGTTCAGTAAAAGAAACTGCATTGTCTAGAATGATTCATCTCGAAACTGTTCCAGTTTTGGAGCAAGCTGGTCGGTAGCAGGTCACAAAACACTTTTTTAAACTGGGAGAAGGCATTGGGAAAAAGTTTGAGATCACAGGTCTCTTCCCTTCAGTCTCTGGGCCCTGTAGATAACAATGTTTGGATAAATATTCTTTCCTCAGTCTCTTCCTGAGAAGAGCCTGTTGTCTGAGGAAGAAACCTGCTCAGAATAGGCCTTGGAAACCCACATCTGCTGTGCTTTCCCTGGCCATTCCCAGTTTGCAACCATCACAATAGACATTGCACAACACCACTGCTTAGTGCAGTATTTTCTTAAATCACTATTCCCCCCATAAGCATAAAGGGGTAGAAATTGCACCAGCGAAAGTAGTTTGGGGAAGGAACGGCGTCTTTAACAAGCAGCTTTATTCCAGCTAGGTACTCAACAGGCTAAGGGGGGCAGCAGCAGGGCAGAGCAGTTAAGGTGTCTGGTTATGGCAGAGAAGTACAAGTTCAAGCCCTGATCTTAGACTCATGCTGAAGGATACCCCCTGGTCAGTCCAGCTATAATTGACTGCCCGGTCATTTGAGCTGGGGAGTCAAAGGTGGAAGACTGACGCTAGCTTCACCCCTCCCTGTGTGCTCTTGGCTACAGAAACTGGCATGCCTTAACCATGTGAGGCTTGGGAGGAACCTTGGCATTGGCTGAGCTTGTATGAATGGTCCCCATAAGAAGCACTTAATTATACTTCCTTCTGGTTCTGACCTACCACCGATGCTGCAGAGCGTGTCTTCTGGAAGAGCAGGAGCAGTTTTAATTCTCCAGTGCTCTCCCCCAAGACTCAGGGCCCTTGTGATTATGGGCTAATTAGAAAGACTAGGATTTTGACACAGACTACAGTCTGGCGGATGCTGACAGTTTCCAAGGGAAGCAGGCATTACATGCATGGGGAAGGAGGAAACATCACTTCAGTTGCTTCTTATCAGCGAGAGCCCTTGCTTCCACAAGGCTGTCTGCAGGAGTACCGCTGAGCTGTCCCCTGCAAGCAGCATCCACAGCCCTGTGATGGCACCACGGCTCCCCAAACAGGGCAAGGGGAGAGCAAGAGTGGGATGCACAGAAGCTAACGCTGAGCAGGGAGCTGCCTACAAACCAGCACGTACCCACCTATAACTACTCAAAGAGAAACTCTGAGGACAAGGGTCGGTGCAATCCTCCCCAACCCAGGGATGGAGGGTGGCGCGCCGTCCGCTCATGCCGCGCAGCCCTGAGCGTTCTCATGAACCGAGGAGTCTCTGCCCTTTCCATCAAGGAAGTCGCACAGACTGGCTCTTCTCTTTTGAACTGCAGCTGGCAGAGGATGAGCCCACAGTGCTCACCTTCCTGAGACAACTCACACATGTTCGACCTCCCTGAAGACTGCTTGAACCCCTCTGGTCTCAACAGCAGCCTGAGCAGGACTGGATATCTGGATGTGACCTGCTGAGACTGAGATCTGATGCCTCGTCCCGACTCTGCCACTGACTTGCCGCAAGACCTTGGGCACATCCTTTTCTCTCAGGGTGCCTCACTTTCCCCTGTGTGCTTTGACAGCCTAACATGAATGCTACTGGATGACGGCAAGGCATGAACACGCGTTGCTGGGAGAAACTTGCAACTTGCACGTTCTCCTGGCATGAGCCCAGGGGCTGTCCAGTGCCTCCCTTGGGCTCCCACTGTAGACACAGGGAACTATACAATCCCCAAGCTTCACCCCACGTGTCCTCACCTAGGAGTGAGGGGGAGATATACAAGGAGCGTGAAGAGCAGGAACAAGGGGCACCATCAAGCTTTCCCAGCCTACTGCAATTAAACAGCCATTACTCAAGATAAGCAAGCCGGGCCTGTTTACACAATTAGGCTGTAAGCCATCCAGAGGCAGGCAAGCTGTCGGCCCCCATACTGCTGGGGAACTTTGATCTGGTGGCACCGAGACTGTTGCTGGCGAGGGAAGAGTGGCAAAGAGACTGGGTCTCTCCTTCAGGGCGAGGCTGGCCTCCCGCCGGCTCTGTGCTCCCTGGAACCACAGTAAAACTTGTGTGGTGACAGTCAGTAGGAGGTCTTGCCCTGAGCTGTCAGGAGCTCAATGAGCCAGAGACAAAGGGGGAGGGAGGACAGAGAACAAGGAGGCCAGAAGCAGTAAACCCTAGAGCAGGAAGAAATATGGTGCTAAGTTCCACGAGCAGCTACCGAAAATAGAGGGAGGTTGTTTTAAAGAAGGACGGTCTAGTGATTAAGGCAGTGGCCTGGATCCTAGTCTAAATTCTGGTCCCTGGTCTGCCATAGACTTATCCTGAGTGACCTGTGTCAGTCTCTTTCTCTTTGCATGCCTCAGTTCCCCATCAGGTAATACTGCCCCACTTCATTGCACTGGGGTTTGGTCTGCAGCAGCTCCCCCCAGGAGGATGCCCACCTGCTCCAGCAAGTTTTGAGCAACTGTAATCACTCCACAAGGGTTCAGTCCTGCAAACATTGATGGGCCAGAACAGTGCTTACTACTTAGCCTGTCCTGTGCTAGGCGCTTAGAGTTAGCAACACTAGGCCCTCACTGTGGTGTTCTGCAAAATGCCACTGGCACTTGTGAGATTCAGAACGAAGAAAATTAAATACAGGGGAGATGCAGCAAGCTACCCTGAGCCAAGTATGGCCACCCCGCAAAAGGAGCAAAACGATGACCCAATTTAAGATGACAAACACCAAGAAGTGACGGTATGGATTCGAAATGAAATGCAAGCGTCAAGGCAGCTAGGTAAATTGGTTCATGATAGTAAATGAATCTCAGTAGTATAACCAGATAAATATGCTTGTGACCTAACACTTTCCTCACTGACATCCATGGAGGCAATCCTGGTAGCACCAGGGAGAGTAGGAATGGTCTTTTTCAATGCACAGCCACAGGGTTCAAATGAAGCCTCCTGAGGTCACACCAGGGGAGCTGCAGAATGAGGCAGGTAACCTCCAGCTCAGCAGGAAAGAAAGTTGTTGTCAGCAGCCACTTTCCTTTGACTGCTGTTAACTCCAGATAACAGGAAAGAGAGCTTCCTTCCCTACCCTCAGCCCCACAGAGCTTGCAGACGGGCCGGCATCATGCCCAGCCTTCTCTGCTCAGACAGTCTCACCTGCTTCCAGGTCATGTTTTCTCCAACACCAGCCAAGTTTTAACTAGTCCCCCCCCACCCCCGACCATGGACACTTCTACAAACAGCACCAGTCTTGGAGCTTCAGCAGAGTCCCAATTTACACAACCTCCGCAACCAGCTGACATTATTGTCAAAAAGAAGGAGGGGGGTAGGGAATTTCCCCACTGAAAAACAATGCAGCTTTGTCCACAAAAATCCTCAACATCAGGATGTTCTGTATCGAACTCTCACCTTCAATAACCTTTTTCTTCATAGATTCATAGTTTCTAGGGTCGGAAGGGACCTGAGAAGATCATCTAGTCTGACCCCCTGCCATGGCAGGAAAGAGTACTGGGGTCAAATGACCCCAGCAAGGTGTTCATCTAACCTCCTCTTAAAAACCCCCAGGGTAGGAGCCTGCACCACCTCCCTTGGAAGTTGGTTCCAGACCCTAGCCGCCCTGAC